GCCTGCTAGCAATGAAAAGATGGGCTGAGTTCAATCACATTCCATAAACTCCCGTTGACCTGGAGATGAGAGACAGAAGAGGAAGGGCTGGTTGGTCTGAAGTGTGGTGAAACCTGGGGATTCCTGAGCCCATTGACAAGGACATAGCCATGGAGGGCTGATATGAAGTGAGGGAAGATGCACAAACTTGTGGATAGTACCCATTTGACCTAGCCTAAATGACTTGATAATTAGAACATGACTAGAGGAAGATAAAAAACAAATTTTGATCAAGGAAACGAGTGTACATTGCTACAATTTGATGAAATTGACCTATACTATGGATGTAGTAGCTCAAAATACCAGCTGAGAGGGAAGGAGTCTTCACATCAATGATCAATCCTATCCCCTCTGTATACAGGTTAGATAGGGATGGGTAACTTAGACATTGGCTACCTAAAATGAGGGGTGATAAAGGCACGAAGTGACTGGCTTACAAATTTTCAAGAGGAAGTTTAGTTTAAGAGTGTGTGAGGGAAGATAGGGTCCCCACTGAGTAGTTTCCATCTTGTCTAGATGGGTCTGGTGAAAAGAGATGGGGATAAGATTCTTATGATTCAATAGTGAGTAATTGTTATCATGACTAAGTGCGACTCTTACCACTGTAAAGGTAGAAGTATTGTAACAAAAACATGGGAGTAGTTAATCTTACAGTCTAGAAACAGAGGACCCTAGGACCATAAAGAGAGAAGAGCACAAGCGGAATGTGAAACCTTATCCAGAGATGGAGGCAGAGATAAGGACTTGGAGAGAAGGAGCAGCTGAGGATTCTGGAAAGACAGGGTGCTGATGGCCAGGAGGCAGGTTTGCAGAATGTGCCCTTTGGTTGTTTAAATTATTATATATTCCTGAGTGTTTTGGTGTACAACCCCCCGACACCCAAAAAATAAAAAACACAAAGGGAATGGAAGCAAATACTGTTGAATGATGATGCACGGAGGAGATTGTAATCATTGCAATGAAATGATGGTGTAAAGCCAATGTTCTACCATGTAAACTATCACTTAGTTCACAATAAAAACTTAACAACAACAACAAAAACTTAGCCTGCTATATTTGGTCAAACATTTAATTAACTCCTCTAATGTGATAGCTGGAATTATGGTTGCCTTGGCAGGGCCAGACCAAATGATTTATCGGGCCTTGTAGTGTCCGTGGACTGGACATGCCTCATCTCTGCTGGCCTATCTAGAGTCTATCTAGAGTTGTAATCGACTCAATGGCAGTGTGTTATCTTGATTTAATAACATAAAAATGGAAGAAGGAAAAAGTGAAAGGAAGAAAATACTCCTTTTAAAGAAATCTAAATATAGTTTATAACCGAATGTTATTGTTTTTGTTTTTGTTTTTTTTTGCTTATCTTTTAGAGAAGTCCTGGTGGCACTGTGGGTTAAGCATTGGGTTGCTAACTCTAAGGTCAGCAGTTTAATCCCACCAGTCACTCTGCAGGAAAATGTTGAGGTGGTCTTCTATAAAGATTTACAATCTCAGAAACCCTATACAGGGTTGCTACGAGTCAGAATTAACTTTATGGCAATGGGTTTGACTTTTTTATTGTTTGGTTTTTTTGGTCTGAGAGAGAGAAGAGTTCCAAAATTCATGTTGTTGCTATGCACCATACAGTCAGTTCTGACTCGGCAACCCAAAATTCATAGTAAAAATTTAATTAGAAATCATATATCCTCAAAACAAAGCAAAACACAATTTATAAAAAATGATAACTAGTTCAACTATTTGAAAATCTTTTTCTGCATCATGATTTTAGACTTTTCAACATTTTCCCTGAATAAAATTTTTTTAAAAAAAGAAAAATGGAAACATTACAGGCAAGCTTCTACTTTGAGCTTTAGCAAAATGTGAAAGACTATAACTCACCTTTGTAGTTTCATCCCATGGACAGCTACTAGCGTGGCCATAGCAAATACACATTCCTCCAATGGAAATGTCTTTTATTGAATAGTAATACTTAGGAAAAAGAAAATTACAAAGAAAACATCAAACCTCTCATATTTCAGTGAAAGGAAAATGTTGACACTCTCATAAATATCTCAGGTGGTTTAAGAGTTCATATTGGTCATTTAAAATATAATTAGACATATATTTTACATTATATTTAATGCACAATAAATCCTTGTGTTTGATTAAAATAAACAATGCTTAAATTTGCTCAAAAACTGAAACGAAAGGATTCTAAGAGAATTCCCTAAATGGCTGCTTCTTAGGCCAAGACAGTCATCTTCAAAGCCCATGTTACTGAAAATATTAACAAAATATTGGCCAAATAAACACAGCAATATATAAAAGGGATTGACAGACTGGTTCTAACATTTAATAATATACATGAAACCTAGAATAGTCAAAACAATCTTGAAAAACAAAAACAAAATAATTTAAAGGACTATAGCCCCTACCCCAAGAGTTACTATAAAGCCAAAGTAAGGAATAAAATTTAGTATTTGTCTAAAGAAAGGCAAGTCGATCCATGAGACAGTACAGAGTTCAGAAACAGATCCACAACAATAAAGTCAAATAATTTCAACAAGAGTACCAAAACAATTTCATGAGGAAAAGCATTTTCAACAAATGGTGCTGTAATGGTTGCTTATATGAAGTAAGAAGGGAGCAAATCTTGACCTTCAAACCTAAAAGTTAATTTGAAATGGGTCATAGATATAAAAACGAAAACTAGAAAGCACTAGAAGAAAACATGGGAGATTATCTTTGTGAAATTGGGATTCCAAAAATTGCTCGGACAGGTCACAGCCAGCATTACCCATGAAAGGAAAACTGATCAACTATACTTCTCAAAATTAAAACCTCTGATCATTGAAAGTCAGAGTTAAGAAAAAGAACAAGCAGGCCCCAACGATGAGATGATACTCAAAAAGTTCATGGAAACATTCCATTATCTTTCCAGTACAATTCTCCATGAATTCTTGAAACCCCCTTGTATATGACCAAGGACTAATAGACAAAATAAACCTTTTATAGTTCAGGAGACAGATAACACAATTTAAAAATAGACAAAAAATTGATTAGATACTAAAAGCACATGTCAAAAGTCATTAGGGAAATATAAAATAATATAAGGAGATACCACTACACACACATTTGGAATGGCAGATTTTAAAATGTCTGACAGTATCAAGTAGTTGAAAGCATGTATTGTAATCAGAATGCTCACACATTGCTGGGCTGATTGTAAAATTGTGCAGCTACTTTTGAAAAGGATTAGCAAAATTAAAAACACGGGTACCTTAAAATCCAGAATTTCACTTCTATATTATAAAAGGGATATGAAAATGTTTGCCTATAAAGCCTTGTATACGTAAGTGTACACTTAAAATCTATACATTTCCTGAACATAAATTTTATGTCAAATATTAACATTTTCCTTTAAGGGAGGAAAAGAAAACTCCTCGTTTTCTGCTAGTCTGATGAAGAAACAAACTAGAATATGAGGAACCATGGTCACTACATTCACTACATGATGACCATGGTCACTACATTCACTACATGATGGCATCCTGGGAAAAGGGAGGAGATGACCAGAGAACATGATGCAAGTTCCATCATCTAGTTTAGAAATGGCTTTTCCAATAAACCACAAATGATGATCTTCACTATGATAATGTTGTAATAGCAAGGAGGAAAAGAGCCAGCCAGAAATAAAAGCTTATTTACCTAAAATAAAATACAGTTTTCACTCTTGTCAGAAGACCTGCCATATTACTTACTCGACGTGTAACAATAGGATCAAGATCTTTAGGCTCCCGATGGCTAAGGGTCATGAGATCTGCATTAAGGGTTCTAATGCGCTGTAAGCGAAGACGTATATATCGGGCAGAAGTAAATTCCAACAACTTGGGTGAAAGGTCATCAGCACTTGGTCTGCCATTAATTAGTGATGTATGAATCTGAAGAGAAAGACATCAAAATAAACACATTTCAGTTCTAAGCAGGTAAAAAAATATAGTCTTAGTTGTTTAACTTTGAGACATCATCTTTATGAAGATACTACCTAAAAGCAAGACAGAACTATATTCTTATAGAAATCTCTAACTTGTGAACTCTTTGTGAACAGTCAAGATCACAACACAGCTTCAGTCTATTGAAGTTATGCACACTTGTGTCTTGGGGACTACCTTTTAACAGACCCACTTCCTCCAGCGGGGTGAGGCTATTGTAATATTATCATTATGTCATGACTTTTCTGAGCCAAATCCTAAAAAGTGTCTCTGCTCTTTTAATCAGTCTCTGCTCTTGAAATAATGCCAGAGTTCACTGCAGAGTTCCCGCTGTGATGACCACTTCAGAGAGTTTTTGTACTTTTATTTCATCAAGGCATGTGGTACTAAAGAATGGATTGTTTTCATTGCACTCTGACATTAACAGAGTGTGAACAACATGGCTACATTGAGCATTGAAATGGAACACTTCATAAGCCATCTCCCAGTCCCAACACCACCAAAGAGAAGAGCTTCATGGAGAAAACTGGAAATGCTATCTTTTAGAGGGATTTTAAGTCTTTATTTAATATTTCAACAAAAGAGAAAGTCTGAAGGAGAACCTCTTGGAGTTCAGGAAACACAGTTGGGTGAAGACTGAGGTGCCTCCTCAAAGGAAAGAAGTCAAGTAGGTAAATTGTACTGGTTGTAAAATTAATCAATAGCTACCATTCAATGATACATTAAAAATAGATAATTATAGCAAAGATCATTAAAATCTATATTGAGAGAGCTCTGTTTTCAGTGGTTCATGATAGCTATGTTAACATGGGGTGAGGGCTTTGGATAGAAAAACGACCTCACCAAGTGGGCACCTTACCTCTCCATGCTCAAGGGGCACAAGCCTAGAGTAATACGAGGTGCAGATCACTTCATCATCTGCCCTGTATGTGGGTGGGCCCCGTCTTGGAGTTATATTGTAACGAGTCAAACACTCTAAATCGCTGACTGCATAGTACTGCCACGGCGTGAACTTGGTACCATCCAGAGAGCGCTCCAAAATCCAGTTTCCAGGTCGAGGGGCATTTGCAGCTTTGATGATGACGTATGCAACTTGAAAGACCTGCAACAAAGACACTAGAACATCTCAATCAAGAATCAACAGCAACTGAGGAGATGGCAAGTTAGTGGACTAGGCAGAAACTCCACACAGACTCTTGTAACAATGATAAGGAAAACTAGAGGAAACAGATGTGGATGATATTCCTGGAACCCTGAGCTTCAAATGAAGGGATAGAGAAGTGGGCTGAATGCTTACTAGGAGAAAAACTTGACCGGCGTTGGCAAAAAAAGGGGGCCGGCTTGTTGCCTTTTGGCGGCCACCCGGTTTTGTTGCACCCTTTTTAAATTTTTTGGGCGGTTTCAAGGAAAGGGCGTTTTTTTGTTTTTCCGGAACCTTTTCGTTGTTTCTTGAGGTTAAAGTTCCATTTTTTTTTTTTTTTCCATACTCCCTTGGTGACCAGATGTCTCGTGGTCAACATCCCCCATCTACAAAGATTCCATTCTTTGGGTGGTCGGAGCCATCTAGAGGTGAGTGACATAGTTTGGAGTCCCATAAAAGGGAGTAGGGAGCTATCTGCACCAACCCCAGTACATGGATTCAGGTGATCCCTGCTCCAACTCTGCAGAGCCGGCCCTGGCCAGCCCTGGACTAGCCCCTTATAGACCTCACCAGTCGCTCTTGGAAACCCTATACGGGTCGCTAGGAGTTGGAATTGACTTGACGGCACTTAACAACAACAACAATGCAAGGACAGTTCAAGATTAGAAAAACAAGCAACATAATCCAGCACATAAATAAAATGAAGGAAAAGAACCACATGATCATATCACATTCATAGGTGCGTTTTCAGCAAAGGTAAATACCCATGAACAAATATCCACCTTCAAACCCTCATATATTGTGGGAATACTGTTCAACCTCTATATCTGTCCATGTGTCTACTCACAGTACACTGTTGTTGCAGGGGTCTGTGTATTTATCAGTATTTACGTCTATCCCCATGAACTCCTTTATATCTCCCTGTATTTTCACTTGTCTTCATCATTCTTCTGCCAACCTCCCTGTTCTTGTATATTGACCTCCCCATCACCTGAATTAACATGAGTCTGTCCAACAGCCAGTGAATTATTCCCCCTTCTCTCCCAACCCTGGTAACCCTCAAATAATGTTTAGCTTGAAAATATTTTCTGAGTTTTTACTATAGTGGTCTCATACAATATTTGTCCTTATTTGATTCACTAATTTCACTCAGCATAATGTTCTCCAGGTTCATCCATGATATGAGGTGTTTCGCAGATTCATCGTTGTCCATCAGTATTTCATAGTGTTCCACTGTGGGCATGTACCAAAATTTATTTATCCATTCTTCCATTGACAGGCATTTAGGCTGGCTCCAACTTTTTGCTATTGTGAATAGTGCTGCTATGAACATTGGTGTGCATATATTTACTCATGTCTTGACTCTTA